GGGCGCATCAGGTCCCCTCAAATTGAACATCGTGCTTTCCGTGTGACATTTGCTGGTGTTGCGTCGTGTTTATATCTGTACGTCATGGTCGTCGGTAGAATGTTTTTTCGTTCGGTGGGAGGTGTTATGGATGTCCAGTCGATTGCTGCCATTTTGTCGAGTTGATCCAACTCACTGTCGTGTGCCGTTTTCCATTTACGGGCGTCCGGGAATTTCCGTGCTTGTCGGAGCGTTTTGGGGGCGGCTGAGGTGTGGTCGATCTTTGTCGGGATCGTGCGGGCCTTGCTGTGAGTGCGTTTGGATTTTTTGTGTGCACTGTGCTTGGCTTTGCGGTCTTCGATCTTTGTCGTTTTGTCGCGTGCCTGTTTTGTGCGTGTCGCTCTCTGTTGTGCACTGTATATTGCATTGGTGTTGAGGCAGGGGTCCCTCTGACGGTGGTATTGCTTGAAGTCGATTGCTCTTATTTTTGTGTAACGTCTGGTGTGTATGTTCTGCACACAGATGTGGTTTTGATCTATGCCGTACATGTATCTGACTTGCTCTGCCTTTTTGTGCAGCTTCGGCTGATTTGGTTTCAGTATGGGCGTGTAGCCCAATTGTCCGAACGTTAGTACTTTGGCTATTTGTGGTGGTTTGTTGTGCCATTCCGTGTACGGGATGTTTTCGATAGCGTGGTGGTACGTGATGTTATACTTGAAGACGGCATCGTTGAGCGCGTCCTGCCAGTGTATGGCGTGCAATCTGCTGTGCGATAGGGATGCACGGACTTTGTCCATTAGAGTACGGTTTATTCTCTCTGCTAGCGCATTTTCTTGCGGTGTGTAGGGTGTCGTCGCGCGGTATGAGATGCCTCGCTTGCGGAGTTGGTCCTGTACCTGTTTCGCCAAATATTCTTTGGCGTTATCGGTTACAAGGAGCCGAGGTTGTTCTCCGTTTGATGATGCTACGTGGTCAATGGCACTTATGATTGTTTGGGGGACTTGTGCTCGGTTGTGGAGGCAGTAGACCCATATGTACCTGGTTCTCGTGTCGATTACTGTGAGGAAGTAATTTGCATTGTGCTTCGACGTTGGTTTGATCGGACCACAGACGTCGGATGACAGACTGTGTCCTTTTTCTGCATGGTGTGTTGTCCGTCGATGTGGTCTTGTGGATGTTTTTCCATCTATACATCCGCTGCATGTCATCGTTGTGCTGGTGTTGGGCAGGCCGTGGGGCATGCCGGGTAGCAGGCGGCGTTTGGACATCAGTGCGATTGTTTTGGGGTTGGCATGATTTAATTTGAGGTGCCATTCATGCATTGCTTGTTGCTCTGGGGTGTGCTTGTGTATGCCAGTTGATGGTGCTGTTGCATTGCGGAGGTTGGGGGTTGGTCGTGGCGTCGTGCGGATTGGTATGCCTCCGCTGTTGGTGTTTGGCTTCGGTGTTGTCCTCTGCTGTGTTTTTGGGGAGGCGCTGGGACGTGTTTTTGTAATCGTGTTTTTACGTTGGTATGTTCGTGCGCCTTTGGCGGTTACGTCCGTATTAATGCGGTACTGTCCATTGCGAAAGTGTGCGGTGATTCTTGACGGTGGTAATTTGATCGGCTTGTGCAAGATGGCCTTGGTTCTCGAGAACGTGACATGGCCATGTGCTGCCAGATCGTGAACGGAGAGGAGGTTTTCCTTGATCTCCGGGGTGTGCACTGCTGGTACGGTGAATCGCTTATTCTTCTGTCGTATGGTGATGGGTCCCATGTGTGTAACAGGGGCGCGATGTCCAGTGGCAGTGGTTGTTAGTGTCCCGGTGCTGGTTTTCATACGCGCGTGGGGTGTGGCGGTATGAGTGGGGTTAGCACCGGAGTCCAGTATGTATGCGTTCTTACCTTCGGCCGTGCTGTTTTGGTCGTGCATGTGGGTTTCTAGTGCGGATAACCTCTCTTGCAACTCGTGCAACGTGTCGTGGGACTCGTCGGGATCGCTTTGGCCTGTGTACGCTGCGTTCGCACGTGTTGTTGTGCGTTTGTATTTGGTTCTACTCGCGTAGCACTGATCGGTGTCGTGCGATATGCTGCCGTGGTTGCTGCACCACGTTCCGCGATATCCTGCTGGCCTCTGGTATTGTGTTCTGCCTGGGCGTGCGCGTGGTTTGGTTTTGTGTGGTGCGTGGTGAGTGTTCTGTGTGGGGTTGCTTGCTGGTGGCTGCATTTGCGACTGCATGATTTGTACTTGCTGTACATGGTTCGTAAATGCGTTGATGGTCAGCGCGGGGTTCCCCGCCATGATCATAGCCAGTTGTCCCATGTCGGGGTTCTGTGCTAGTCCCTGGATCATGTATCGAACGGTCGTTCTTTCTTCGTTGATGTTCGGATACTGTGCTACTTGCATGCGATATCTCAGTTCGCGGTGCTTTGTGACGTATTCTGTGAGGTCTTGGCATGGGTGGTAGATTAGGGTCCTGGCCTCGGAATCTAACAGTTCGTGACTCTCGGTGCTGGATGTGCTGATCGTGCTTCTGATTATGTGGCAGATGGTGCATGGGTCATAGCGAAGTATGTGCGGTGGGAGCATCTTGACTACTTCGGTTGTTATGCTTTGCATTATCGCCTTGCGGATCTGATCTGTCTTGCGTTGGTTGATCACATCTGGTTCCTGCTCTGTGTCATTTGTTGATGGCGTTGTGAGCTGGGTTGTTGCGTCGATGGTTCTCGCATATATTTCAAGTGCGTCGTACCAATATGTATGGTTGGCGGTGTTGAGTCGTGGTAGCGGGCCGTGCGATGAGTTCTGTTGATCGGTCATCTTGTGCGTTCCTGTGGTGGGTGGCGTTCGCGTCACGTGTGAGAGATAGTTGTTAGTTTGTTTGACGCGGTTGGGAGGGTTAGTCTTGTTCCGCGGATCGGTTGGCAGTGGTGTGTGTGGTGCCCATAACCTGTGGTGCCAGAAAGAGTCCGATGCCCCCTCGACCTCTGTGGGTCGGGGGGCGACGGCGGCTTTATTGGAGTGTGCGGGATCTTTGCCCTAATGGCAGTGCACTGTCTAGTGTGCTGTCTTATCTGGGTGGAACCACAATGATGAAGCCAGTTCCTTGACGAATAGCGGACAACATTTCCCCAAGTTGTGTAGTTCCTGTCTCCAAATCGCCGCAATATTCTAGTGTAACAGTAAAACAAATTAAGTTAACACATAATCGAAGTCGGCACCGTAACATCAACACGGCGAAACAGATCATAAACCTCGCACCTCCCTCGCGGCGGGGGCACGTCAGCGGGTTGCGCGAGCGTCCGCTCGCGCGGAGCGATCGCACGCGCGCCGCCTCTGCGCGCGCCCGCCGCCCCGGCCTCCGCACGTGACGGTCTGCGCCGCCGACTCCGCCGCGCACTCCGCCGCGCACGCGTGGACCCGCTTCCACCGCTCCGCACTCTCTGCGTCCCGACCCAGAATCCGCCCCCACGTGCACACGCGCACACCGTTCACACGTGCACACGCGCACCCGTGTACACGCCGCACCGCCACCTTCCCGCTCCACGCCCCCGCCCCTCCCTCCCTCCCTCTCCGCCCGCCCGCTCCACCCGCTCGCTCCACCGCCGTCCACAGTAATCTCTCCTGCACAAGCGTCCCGCCCACGGTCTCGTCCTTCCCCCCACCCATCTGCGACTCCACCGCTCACGATCAACTCGAAAACACTAAACTCTTCACTTGACGCTTGGTCCCCTGCTTACCCAACGACTTGGTGTCATTCGCCATGATATCCATCAGGTCTTTTGCATCAACACGTCTCCTGGCTACACGCCTTTTCACTGCTGGGGCCAGTAATACACGCCGTGCTTTTTCTTCCTCAATCCCTCCACACCCTAAAACCGATCCTCACATCTCCACTTACATTGGCAACCCACGTTCGGTCCTGACGGGTCTCAGTTCGCTCATCCGCTTCGGAGCGACTGCGTACTTCATACAATTCTACATTTGCAACACCACGCTGGTTCGTCTTCCCCATCTTGATCTTCTCGCCTTCATCCTCGTCATCCTG